CGTGTTCACACAATTACACTGTAGCCATAACTGTAATCAGAAGTCTAACTAAATGTACTGCAGCAGGATGAAAAATATTGCGGGACCATTCGATGTTGCTGAAAGAGCAAAATTCAATTAATTGTGAAAATGTTTGTACAAGTAACTCTACTGTCCAGTATATCGATCAAATTTTTCTTGTTATTCAGGACATCACACATTCCTGAGGCCGAACCTGCTGTATTTGTACGAACTGATGATATTACATCAGCTATCAATTCAAGCCCTCCACCTGAAGAACCGAAACCAAGAGTGGTAAGGATATTTTCACTTTTCTTTTATTTCTTCCATTTATAGTCGCTTTAAATCCGTACCTGCCTTGCATCTCTTTCTGAATCAGTGTGTAATGACGTTAACATGTCTTTCTGTTGTCCATCTGAAAGAATTAAAACAGTACTTTACTAGGAAGTAATTCTCTGCTCACAACCAGTTTGCATTCTTCTTTACAAAACTTCATTTAAAGATTAATTTCGTGAACAAACCCTGATAAGTTCGTAAACCCACATTCCGGGCCGGGGGCGCTGTCTCTGCACGGCTTGCCGCTCATCGAGGCAACTGACTAGCAAGGCAAGCAACTGGGCGGGGCAACTAGCTAATAATCGCCGCGCAATTTAGGCGGTTCAGGAATCACGCAACACGTCTGTACTCCTTTCGTTCTTACTGTATTGACATTGTGGATGATATTTCAAAGACTGATAACTGTTAAGGTTGCTAATGACTACATTCCCAAAGCTTGTGCAGCAGAAAATTCGCATTCAATTTTACCTCAGACTTTATCACAGCGGATAACCCCTCACAATGAAGGTTACTTGATTTTATATGGAAATTGCCTGTATCAATATTGATTGAAGTATTTTAGACGAAATTGGAGTAACTGAGATGCAGCGTTTACTGCATAAGTTCCAACGGGCAAGAGACGAGCGTCAGTTGGAAGAGAAGAAGTCAGTGGCTGCGTTCGAACTACCGTCAAACCTTCCCTCCTCAGCTCCAAAGGTAATCCGATGGATCGATTCCCTTCAATCACTCCTTCTTATGATTCGGCATAGTAGTAAGTAGTACATTAGTAGTAAGCGAGGAAGCATACTGGAGTCAGGATTGAAGCATTTTGTCCGTCAGACATATCTGACCCTTCTCAAAGTAGTAATGACAACAGAAGACTATACTTATTTCCAGCGAAACTTCGTCCATGCCGTTGTTGGAGTTCGACTTTCGGGTTCACCAACCACTTCTGATGGTCAGCCTATCAATGGTTCTTTGGGTTTGAATAAACCTAACGTCGTCAATATCTCTGTCAGAAGTGACACGTCAACACTTCCCAGTAAACAAAGTAAGTCACCTAACAGTTTTTAGCGCCCCACCCAGCCTGATCTCAAACCCATAAATAAAACATTGCTCAGCACCAAGTTAAGGAGGGAGGGGAGA